TTTTTTTTTTGGGGGGGGGGGGCAATTCCTGATAACTCGAACTTCGGATAACTCGAAACGATTTGCCCAGTCCCTAAAAGTTCGAGTTAACGAGTTTTCACTGTACTAGTAATTATTTGTAATTAATTTAATGGCTGGAAGTTGTGCTTGCAGAGTGAGGAATAAAAGAGATAAGCAAGCGGCTGAAATAGTGCTCGCGGAGGAATTGCTCTATCGAGCTCTATCTATTCTTCAACCTCCATGTTCAAGGTCAGGGGTTTTCCCCTTCTTTTCCCGAGTTTTTCATGTTTAGGGGAGGTTGACACGACGTTGGCGGATGAGATTTCGAAGAAGGTGAGAGTCCTTTGTTGGGTGATGACCCAGCCGAGGAACCACGAGGCAAGGGCCAGGCACATCAAGGCCACATGGGGGAGGCGGTGTAATGTCCTTCTCTTCATGAGCTCGAAGATCAGTTCGTCATACTTTTATTTTGGAGGGGCTGGGTGTTTCATTTCTAATGTGTGTGTGTGTTTTTTCCCCCCAACCATTTCTTCACGGATGCTGGTTTGTGCTGATGTGGATGCTGATTTTCATCTGGATATGATGAATGCACTCTGCTGTGCATTCTTTGTTTTACTTTTTTCTACTTTCACTTTCTCTTTCTGGTTAGATTTGTCGCCGGCCATTGTCCTTCCCGTGGGCGAAGGGAGGGAACATCTCTGGGGGAAGACCCGCGAGGCCTTCCGCTACATCTACCAGCATCACTTCCAGGGCGCTGATTGGTTCTTCCAAGGCCTACGATGACACGTGAGGCTTCTCGCTCACTATTCAAAATACCAAACCAAGCCAAATTGCAATTGGTAAGGTTTGAAAGGCTCCCTGAAGTATTTCGTTTTTTTTTTTTTTAAAAAAAGAGGTACGTGGTGGTGGAGAATCTCCGCTTCATGTTGCTCTCGTACGAGCCGAAGGAACCCATTTACCTCGGCTGTTCCCTCCCGGCAAGTTCGCCTGTATGAGTGGAGGAGCCGGTGAGAAAATCCCCTCAATTTTCCTTTTCGTCGTCGGTTTGCCCTGGCTTCATCTTCCGCCATTGCATCCATCCACACGAGAAACGAATGAATGCCGATGAGGGATTTCGATTCTACTGCTGCTTCATCTACTCTGGACATTTCCAGCAATGGATAATTCCAATGTTGAACCAAAAATGGCGTAAACGTGCAGGACCGATGCTCAGAGATCTGGAATGACGTCTCCAAACACCATTTCGCCAATTTTTCGGTCGGCGTTGGTTAATTGGGATTCTTTGACATCGGCCGATGGATCGGGGTGTCGTTCCAGCGTACGTTCGATACAAGTCTCCGAAATCCATCTCGGCGTGGATTCACTCGTTGAGACAAATATTTTTGAAGTTCACCGAGACACAGCTTATTCCAATAGGCTCTATTGCTGTCAGAAAGTATAGAATCGATATTTGCGCTCTGGAAGTCTTGGTGTTTTTTCATAAAAGTTTTGGCAAACCCTCTGTTTGGAAGCATTTTCCCCGAAAGCAAATCAAGTAATGTTGCAAATGAAGAATCGTTTTAGAAGTTGCAGATTCTTGGCAACATCCACTGCTGAATTCGTCAGGCAGTGCCAATTGGCACTGCCAATGGAGTTCGACCCGTTGAAATGGCACAAACATTCGCAAGAGCCGTCTTTGAGAGAGGAGGCTGAATTTCAAAGAAAGTTACCTAACAGCACTAAAAGCTTTGCCAAGCAATAAATTTCCGGCTTTCAATTGCTGCAATATTTTCCCCCAATTTATTAGTGAGATGCGACACCTGATCTCAGGTTACCTGCTGAGCCGCGAGGCCCTGGACCGACTGGTGAACGTAGCCTTCCCCAATCACATGATCTGCCCCCTCCTCGATGAAGCCGAAGATGTCAACGTTGGTCTGTCTCTCTCTCTCCCTCTCTCTCATGAGCTGATGAAAGTATGGAAATAGTATTGAGATGAGATGAGAGCTCGTGACGTCAGCATTTTCTCACATTGTCATGGAATCGAATAATTTCGATCAGAATCACTACAGAGAAGAATATTGTTGCCGTGCTGCTTCATGAAATGTCCGCTTTGGTGAACTTAATTTCGCATTTGAAACACAATTGATGACATTATCCAGTTCGCGGCGAGGCCGAGGCTGCATTATAACATTCGCAGTAATCAGTAACAGGTTGGATTGAGGTAGAGGAGGACATTTCTTGTAAGATTATTTATTGCCTGAATGGCCGTAGTAGGACTTTCAAATTGATGCTATATTTAATGATTGTTAATGGATTGCATCGCTTGGCGAGTTTCTTTGTTGTTGATGAGAACTGATGTGAACTCTAGTCCTATGTTGCATTTGAATTCTCCTAATCCCAGTCCACGTACCTAGAAGCCACTAATTTACCTACTACGTACAGTTCGAATTAAGCTGATTACCTGTATGTACAAACATTTAAGAAAGCGAACCAAAATTAGTAAAATGAGAATTTTTTTTTACTTCCGGTCACACTTTCCTGATCTGTATTGCGTTCACATAATGTTTGGTAGCAATCAAGGAAAGCAAGTAAACATATAGTGACGCCTTAGAGCACCACCACTTGGCAAATTGAAATGATTGGGACCGTATCTTACGTGTCCGTGTCCACGCTTTACCCAACCGGAATTTCCTGGAATTCAGTATTATGGTGAAGAACCATAACCGGACGATTCTCAAGATTTCCTTCATATGTAATAACTGGCTGTTCTCGATTTTTAAATTTCATTTTCTAATTCAAGCGACGGACGACAGAACTAAGCTGGGCTCATTGTGACGTCACGTCGTTAAGTAAGCATATAGTTAGAAAGTAAGTAAGAAAGTTATTCCTGACCTTGTGGCCGGTAGAAAATCGAAAGTTTCCGAGCGAGCTCTGTATAACCTGTCTTTCACCTGCCCGAAGGATGGAATGGAAGCCAAAGGGAACCCTGGGAAGTGAAATTGAAGAATGTATGCATATCCGTCCTTGATGGGTTCAAATTAGGTGTGTAATACCTTCTTCTGCGAGTGCTCTGCTTTCTTCTTCATATGTCTGTGGGACGGAAGTGGTTTCCAAAGATGCTCGTTGCTTCATCCTAGCGAGAAACTTCTCCACTTTTACGTTTGCCTCATCTGGTGCGTGATTGTGCTCACCCACATTCTCAGAATTTCCGGAATCCATCCTGAGAGTTGCATGACACCCAACCCTTGGACAGCACCAATATTCTTTTGAAAGTCCTCTTTTCTTCGATATACAGTATACTGAAATCCATCCTGGATGTGTATGGGCTTCCCTGCATACATGAAAGTCATGCAGCTAGTCACAAGTCGACCTCTACAACGACAAAATCCCCGGAACTTGTAAAGTCATGAGTCATACCTTTCGATGTAGTAGGAGCCACCTGTCGCATTGTCCCAGACGGACTTGGTGCTTCGTCAGCCATTTTGTCCTTACCTCCTGATGTGGACTTCGAAAGTGTTTCGTTTAATCCTACTTTTATACCCGAGAATACTTCCGGAAATATTGGAGAGCAAGTTCTCATTTTCCCAGAGGCGAAAACTGAGGTTTTTTGTGGGGAAGTGAGAATGATCCGGTGTGGGGCATCGCAATTTCCCACTGTAGGGTTTTGCGTTTCCTCTCGTGCTTAGGGGCTATTATTTCTTTCGCATTTTGGCAGATCTGTGGTCAACTGTGATCCCTTCCACGACTCAA